ACAGGGGAAATTAGGCAGGTAGACGAAAAGCACTTTGAACAGAAAAATAGAGGGAGGAAAATCACCCACTATAAAACAAAATTCAAAAGAAAGAAAAAATCTAATAAAAGTAAATACGATAATTGCAGAGTACCCGAAGAGAGTACTGGGAATCCGGAGCTACAACATGATTAAGATTATAATCTTACTAATGTTCACCGTCCTACAAGCTACCGGACAGAATATAGAGATAGATCCCATCAACTCAAGGAATGGATATCACATATTCAAAACGAATACCATTAACATACCCATTAATTATGAATACCACTATCTAACAATTAATATAACAAAAACAGATGAAACATATCAGAGTTTACTAGAACAGGCAACCCAATTTGATAACGAAATCCAAGTTCAATATTTAGTCGAGAAATTGCAACGTGAATTCAACGGCATAAAAATAGCCAAAAGAAACAGAAGAGGCCTTATAAATGCAGTAGGCACAATATATAAATATCTATTTGGAACGTTAGATCAAGATGATAAGGTCGAATTAGAAGGGAAATTAGACAATCTGGCTAGCCACAGTGTTCAAGTTAACGAATTAAACTTAGTAATTCAAGCAGTAAATTCTGGCATAGAAGTTGTCAATAAATTAAACAAGGATAATGACAGAAATAAGCAACTAGACATATTAATACTTATTTTCAACATTTTACTAGGTACATAGAGGATATTGAATTAGGCATGCAGCTAACAAGATTAGGGATCTTTAATCCAAAATTATTGAGGCAGGATTACCTGAAACACATCGATTCAGAGAAATTAATAAATATCAAAACATCTACCTGGTTGAAATCAGACACTAACGAAATACTAATAATTTCCAACATCCCACGAGAGATCAGAAATATTCCTATACTTAAAATTGTCCCATATCCAGATGAAGATAATAACATCCTCACTGACCTAACGCAAAACAATTATTACATTCTAGAAAACGAGGTATATGAAAAAGAATCAAAACGAAAAACGAGGGGGAACGTTGTGAGTTGCTGCGGACACCGCAACTCTACGGTTATACCCGATACTAAGTCAGTATGGCTCTCCTCCGGCAGCGCCGCTAATATTAAACGACACGACAAAGAGTGCGTGCGAGAGAGACAGAAAATCAGTCTGAACGTGACGTCGGGCGCTGCGTAGCCAATGCAAATTGATTTGTTCCTTTTGGCTACAAAAATTATCTGATCTGATCCCGATTCAGCAATCTGATAGATATGGTCATTATCTATGATTCTGCGTTTTTAGTTTTCTCGAATCTACAATATTGTGGATGCAACAGATTTTCTTCCTTTGTGGGGGCGGATGGGGGTGGGGCGAAATTCTGAGATATACGTTTTATAGTGATATCTAACAGGAGTGCGGATACTAAATTTGGTTACTCTAGCTTTAATAGTCTCTGAGATGTGTGTATATCCCCAGATTTGCATCCTTTGCGGGGGCGGAAGGGGGTGTGGCGAAATTTTGAAACAAACTCGTCTCGGTCCGATATATTAGGAGTGTGGATACCAAATTTGGTTGCTCTAGCTTTTATAGTCTCTGAGATCTAGGCGCTAATGTTTTACTCTAAGCAAAGCCGCCTATGCTACGTGTATGTTAGAGAGAGACAGGGCGAGAAAAAATGAAATTGTTTTCTTGATGCTGGCTATAATAATAATACGATCCAATTCAGATTCCGCAGTCTAAAAGATATCGTCATTGTCTACGATTCTGCGTTTTTGGTTTTCTCGTATCGTCGAAATTGTGGATGCCACAGATTTTCGCCCTTTGTGGGAGCGGAAGTGGGCGGGGCAAAGTTTTGAAATATTTTTGTAGCAGTGACATATCACAGAAGTCTGGATCCAAAACATCGTGGCTCTAGCTCTTATAGTCTTTGAGCATTAGGCGCTGAAGGGGACGGACAGACGGACAGACAGACATGGCTCAATCGACTCGGCTATTGATGCTGATCAAGAATATATATATGTTATGGGGTCGGAAACGATTCCTTCTGGACGTTACACACATCCACTTTTACCACAAATCTAATATACCCCAATACTCATTTTGAGTATCGGGTATAAAAATGACGAATGTATTTCAGGAATAGTCAAACAAGTAGAAACAAAATGTCCATACACCAAAGCACACCAAAACTTTCAAATAAGTTTCATAGAACCCAATATATTGTTAACTTGGAAATTACCAAAAACCATATTAAACCAAGATTGCCTAAACCATGAAATAAAAGTAGAAGGTAACGCATTAATAACGAGGGGGAACGTTGTGAGTTGCTGCGGACACCGCAACTCTACGGTTATACCAGATACTAAGTCAGTATGGCTCTCCTCCGGCAGACGCCGCTAATATTTAACGACACGACAAAGAGTGCGTGCGAGAGAGACAGAAAATCAGTCTGAGCGTGACGTCGGGCGCTGCGTAGCCACCTCAAATTGATTTGTTCCTTTTGGCTAAAAAAAATGGTCTGATCTGATCCAGATTCAGCAATCTAATAGATATGGTCATTATCTATGATTCTGCGTTTTTAGTTTTCTCAAATCTGCAATATTGTGGATGCAACAGATTTTCGTCCTTTGTGGGGGCGGATGGGGGTGGGGCGAAATTCTGAGATATACGTTTTATAGTGAGATCTAACAGAAGTGCGGATACCAAATTTGGTTACTCTAGCTTTAATAGTCTCTGAGATTTGTGAATATCCCCAGATTTGCATTCTTTGCGGGGGCGGAAGGGGGTGTGGCGAAATTTTGAAACAAACTAGTCTCGGTCCGATATATTAGGAGTGTGGATACCAAATTTGGTTGCTCTAGCTTTTATAGTCTCTGAGATCTAGGCGCTAATGTTTTACTCTAAGCAAAGCCGCCTATGCTACGTGTGTGTTAGAGAGAGACAGGGCGAGAAAAAATTAAATTGTTTTCGTGATGCTGGCTATAATAATAATACGATCCAATTCAGATTCTGCAGTCTAAAAGATATGGTCATTCTCTACGATTCTGCGTTTTTGGTTTTATCGTATCTTGAAAATTGTGGATGCCACAGATTTTCGCCCTTTGTGGGGGCGGAAGTGGGCGGGGCAAAGTTTTGAAATATTTTTGTAGCAGTGACATATCACAGAAGTCTGGATCCAAAACATCGTTGCTCTGGCTCTTATAGTCTTTGAGCATTAGGCGCTGAAGGGGACGGACAGACGGACAGACGGACAGACGGACGGACGGACAGACAGACAGGGCTCAATCGACTCGGCTATTGATGCTGATCAAGAATATATATACTTTATAGGGTCGGAAACGATTCCTTCTGGACGTTACACACATCCACTTTTACCACAAATCTAATATACCCCAATACTCATTTTGAGTATCGGGTATAAAAATACATAATTGCAGTGTACAAGTAAACGAATTCTTAATATCCAACTCAATACCAGAATTTGCACAAAGCATATACATCAACAATAACGTAACAAAAATTAAACCACTGTCTAATTTGCAAACCAAAGAAATCGTAATAGAAAATACGCGATTAAATAATGTATTACATGTAAGCTTAATACTACTTGTAACGAACCGTTCTTTTCCGTCTGATGCAGCTGGGCTGGCTCAGCGGTCGGTAGGCTCGCTGCAACAATATTTGTATGATGCCCAGACGACAAGTAAGAAGGCACGGGTTGGGTCTTGTACTGGTATGCTAATATGCTTTATTGGTATCTTAGGTCTATCTTACGCTATTCCGACTCCGGTGCTGGTTCTCCTCTTGGTTCTCCTCTGTGGTTCGATGAGTGTGTCGCTCCCTGGGCCCCCCACGGCTTCGCCAAGCGTGGCACCGCCGGCTCTACTGACTGGGGCTAGCGATTCTTGGCACGTGGCCCAAATCCGCCTCTCAGTCAGGCGCCTGACGCGTTCGCTCTCACTCGACTCACTTGGCTTTTCGGCCCGAGGGTGCCTCACTCCTGGTGGGATGCGCTTCAAGCGTGGCACCGTTGGTTCAAGGGATTGGGGTCTTTGGCTCTTGGCTGCACGCTCGAGTCCGCCTCTCAATCCTCACACAACGCGTTCGCTTTCTAAAGTTCTTTTCCCTTCGCTTGGTCTCACTCTCCTGGCTCACTATTCACTTCACTCTTGCTAGCTCCGTTTGCTGACTGTCCTCGTTCCTGGTCGCGGCCCTCCTCTTATAAGCTCGCTTCTGCGTCGGCGCCGCCGATGCCGCCTGGCGCTAACGGCACTTTCCGCCATGCGGTGCCCGTATTTTTCCATCGGCGTTCCTTCATTCCCTTGTCGCTTTCCAACGGGACCTGGCTGGTGGCGTGATCTCATGACCATATTTGGTCCCGCGTCCCAGGTTTGGGATGCTTCAAAAACCCCGCGCGACCGGCACGCGCGTGCTTTGTTCTCGACCCGGGTGCCCCTTGGCGCCCTCTTTCGGCCTCGCGCCATGCGGTGTTGCCGTATCTCTCCGATGAGCTCGATCGATTCGATTCCCCCTTATCGATAGTTCGCATAGGAGCTTCTTTTGCCCCGCCCGATATAGGGTATGGTCGCTATTCTGACCTACTCGATATGACACAGCGTTGCCCTTACGCTCCACTCGATAAAGCGTAGGGTCGTTTTTGTGATCTACTCGATATGTTGCAGCGTGCGTATTCTACTTCCGGATCGCGAATTCCTCAATGGACTGGAAACTTACTATTTTCTCGCGATGCCGGGTGTTTTCTTTGTTTTTCTTGTGCGCGTCTGGTTTTCCCTACTGCCCTTCGCTGGCGCGCATGCCTTCCGCCGGCCCTCTGGATGCTTCGGGTAAGTTTTCCTCCCGCTTTGACGCCTTCCGCCGCCTTCATTCAAGCTTCACCGATCATTTCTAGCGATGCCCCGCTGTTCCTCTGCTGCAAGGTAAGACCATGTTTTTTTGTTTTTTTTTTTTTTATTTGTTCTTGTTTTCAGTTACTTTTTTTCCATTCTTCTTCTCTACTCCTCTTCGGCTGTGGGTGCCACCGCTGGGCCTGTCGACTCCTGTGGCCGTGCCCGCCGCCTCGGGTCCCGCTCGTCACTGGCGCGTGGTGCCTCCTCCCACAGTCGAGCCTCCCTCGCCTCCTGCCCGGGCTGCTGGGGCGCGGGCCCAGAGGCCCACGATATGTGCAGCGTTTGCACGAGCAAACCGCGGAGCGCACCTCCTGCGAGACGAACGGCCCGATGGCGGCTCCCTGTGGCCCGTGCTAGTGCTGCTGCTGCTGCTGATGCTGCTGCTGACGCTGCTGCAGCTGCTGCTGATCCCCTTGGCAGCGCGCGTTGTCAGCCGGCGGCCGACGCTGGAACAGCTCTTCCTCTGCCCCCGGTGACGGTGGGGCCTGCGGCCGTGGCTCCTCCTCGGACTCGACGTGTTCAGGGGGTGGCTGCCAAAGCTCTTCCTCCTCCACCTCGGCTCGTCGTAGCCTCTCCTGCCACTCCTCTTCGGGCGACTGGACTCGAGCCGCCTTCGGCGCTGGTGGGCACTCCGCCTCCTCCTCATCGCTGGAGATCACCGCCAGCCCGCATGCCGCGCCCTCCGCCCGCGTCGCCCTTGCCTTCTCCGCTTCCGCACGCAGACGCGCCATCTCCCTTTGCTCCGCTGCGTTGATCCGGCTAATACACCGCCATTGGTGCGCGAAGTCCCGTTTGTGGCGCTCAGCCTCCGCTTCTTGCGCCGCCTTTTCAGCCTCCTGCGTGGCCTTCAGCCTCCTGCGTGGCCTTCAGCCTCTTTGCCAGCGTCAGGGCGTCCTCCCATAACGCCGTTGCCTCCGCTCCTCCGTCGCCGCGGCCAGCGCGAACCGCCGGTGCCATTCCGCGAGGCGTCGTGCCTCAGCGGCCGCGTTGTTTTCCGCGATGTCGGCCTGCGTTGCCTGCGGCTCTTTGACCGCGGTTTCGGTCGGCGTTGTCTGCGGCTCTTTGACCGCGGTTTCGGTCGGCGTTGGCTGCGGCTCCTCGACCTGTGGGTCTGTCGGCCGCTGATCCCCTCGCCGGGCCGTCGACCTCCCCCTTGTGCGTGCCGACGACTCCTCTTCCTTGGCCGTACGCGTCGAACGCGTGGACGCCCGCTTCGAGGCCCGCTCACTGGGCTCCTCCTTCCGCGTCTCCGTGCGCCCCCTCCTTCCTCCCTCAGGCCACTCCTCGCGCTTGCCGGTGCGGGGCTCTTCGTGCTTGCTGGTCCGGGGCCCTCGCGCCTGCTGGTCCGGGGCTCCTCGCGTTTGCCGGTGCGGGGCTCCTCGCGTCTGCTGGTGTGGGGCTCCTCGAGTCTGCTGGTCCGGGGCTCCTCGCGCTTCGCCTCGCGTGCGCGTTTTCTCCGTGGCGCCGGCTCCCAGCTCACCAATTCCAGGTCACTTTCCGCCTCGGTGTACCCCGGCTATACCACCGGGGACACCGTCGGTCCCATGGATCCCGCGGTTGACACTAGCGGTGAGGCCAATAACTGTAGCTCCGGGGACCTACTCCTACTCGCCCTTTGCTCCTCGCGCTCGACCTGGTACGCCTGCCGCCTGATACCCGCGGCGAATCCATTTCCGCTGCTCCGTTATATACCTTATTAAGTGCTGCTGCATCTTACCCTTTTTTTTCCACGTGGTCAACTTTTGAAAAGTCCTGATCGTGCGCTGCTCCCTCCTTTATAAGGGCTCGTGCCGGTGCTCACCGTTCCCTGTAACGGTGCCTTACATGGGCCCGTGGGACGGCTCTCTCTTGCCTTCCAGCTGGCTCTCTCGCTCGCTCCCGTTTTGAAAGTTATCCGCGCCTCTCGCCGCGTTAACCCTAGGGTGCCCCCTGGTTTTGTTAGCCTTCCTTCGGTTCCCACTTCTTCTTCTTTTTATACCCGATACTCAAAATGAGTATTGGGGTATATTAGATTTGTGGTAAAAGTGGATGTGTGTAACGTCCAGAAGGAATCGTTTCCGACCCTATAAAGTATATATATTCTTGATCAGCATCAATAGCCGAGTCGATTGAGCCCTGTCTGTCTGTCCGTCCGTCCGTCTGTCCGTCTGTCCGTCCCCTTCAGCGCCTAATGCTCAAAGACTATAAGAGCTAGAGCAACGATGTTTTGGATCCAGACTTCTGTAATATGTCACTGCTCCAAAAATATTTCAAAACTTTGCCCCGCCCACTTCCGCCCCCACAAAGGGCGAAAATCTGTGGCATCCACAATTTTAAAGATACGAGAAAACTAAAAACGCAGAGTCGTAGAGAATGACCATATCTTTTAGACAGCAGAATCTGAATTCGATCGTATTATTATTATAGCCAGCATCAAGAAAACAATTTCATTTTTTCTCGCCCTGTCTCTCTCTAACACACAGGTAGCATAGGCGGCTTTGCTTAGAGTAAAACATTAGCGCCTAGATCTCAGAGACTATAAAAGCTAGAGCAGCCAAATTTGGTATCCACACTCCTAAAATATCGGACCGAGACGAGTTTGTTTCAAAATTTCGCCACACCCCCTTCCGCCCCCGCAAAGGATGCAAATCTGGGGATATTCACAAATCTCAGAGACTATTAAAGCTAGAGTAACCAAATCTGGTATCCGCACTTCTGTTAGATCTCACTATAAAACCTTTATCTCAAAATTTCGCCCCACCCCCTTCCGCCCCCACAAAGGACGAAAATCTGCTGCATCCACAATATTGCAGATTTGAGAAAACTAAAAACGCAGAATCATAGATAACGACCATATCTATCAGATTGCTGAATCTGGATCAGATCAGATCATTTTTATAGCCAAAGGAAACAAATCAATTTGCAGTGGCTACGCAGCACGTGACGTCACGCTCAGACTGATTTTCTGTCTCTCTCGCACGCACTCTTTGTCGTGTCGTTTAATATTAGCGGCGTCTGCCGGAGGAGAGCCATACTGACTTAGTATCGGGTATAACTGTAGAGTTGCGGTGTCCGCAGCAACTCACAACGTTCCACCTCATTTTTTTTATTTTTTATACCCGATACTCAAAATGAGTATTGGGGTATATTAGATTTGTGGTAAAAGTGTATGTGTGTAACGTCCAGAAGGAATCGTTTCCGACCCCATAAAGTATATATATTCTTGATCAGCATCAATAGCCGAGTCGATTGAGCCATGTCTGTCTGTCCGTCTGTCCGTCCGTCCGTCTGTCCGTCTGTCCGTCCCCTTCAGCGCCTAATGCTCAAAGACTATAAGAGCTAGAGCAACGATGTTTTGGATCCAGACTTCTGTGATATGTCACTGCTACAAAAATATTTCAAAACTTTGCCCCGCCCACTTCCGCTCCCACAAAGGGCGAAAATCTGTGGCATCCACAATTTCGACGATACGAGAAAACCAAAAACGCAGAATCGTAGAGAATGACGATATCTTTTAGACTGCGGAATCTGAATTGGATCGTATTATTATTATAGCCAGCATCAAGAAAACAATTTCATTTTTTCTCGCCCTGTCTCTCTCTAACACACACGTAGCATAGGCGGCTTTGCTTAGAGTAAAACATTAGCGCCTAGATCTCAGAGACTATAAAAGCTAGAGCAACCAAATTTGGTATCCACACTCCTAATATATCGGACCGAGACGAGTTTGTTTCAAAATTTCGCCACACCCCCTTCCGCCCCCGCAAAGGATGCAGATCTGGGGATATTCATAAATCTCAGAGACTATTAAGGCTAGAGTAACCAAATTTGGTATCCGCACTCCTGTTAGATCTCACTATAAAACGTATATCTCAAAATTTCGCCCCACCCCCTTCCGCCCACACAAAGGACGAAAATCTGTTGCATCCACAATATTGCAAAATCGAGTAAACTAAAAACGCAGAATCATAGACAATGACCATATCTATCCGGTTCCGAATCTGGATCAGATCGGATCATTTTTGTAGCCAAAAGCAAGAAATCAATTTTTAGTGGCTACGCAGCGCCCGACGTCACGCTCAGACTGATTTTCTGTCTCTCTCGCACGCACTCTTTGTCGTGTCGTTTAATATTAGCGGCGTCTGCCGGAGGAGAGCCATACTGACTTAGTATCGGGTATAACTGTAGAGTTGCGGTGTCCGCAGCAACTCACAACGTTCCCCCTCGTTTTTTTTTTATTTTTATTTTTTGGCCTTTTCTACTTCTAGGTCTGGCGACGTGTTGTTTGGCTTCGCCTTGAATCTGGTAAGCTTCCCGAGTTCTTGGGTTCCTCATCTCACCTTGCCTTTTCTTCCAGCCCGTCCTTGGGTTCCAGTCCAGGGTGCTGACCGATCTCCCAGCTCGTGATCAATAGGTCCTCCGACCCTTCGCCCGTGCTGCCAAACATCGGCCCGCCCCCCGTGGCCAGCTCCGCCCGTCTCTGGATCGGCTTAGACGCGGATGTCACCCCCGTGCAGCGCCTCGGACCCAGGGATCATCCGATTCCCCAGCCGGTAGACCGCGCACGGGCGGCATCCGCTTTTGTCCCGCCATCCCCGACGTTAGCAGCTGGCTTCGATGCCCTGGACCCGGACCCGAACTTCTGCTCCTCTCGGAACGCCCTTCTCGGGTGCCCCCTCGTCCGTCGACGCACCACGCAAACCGCCCCCCCTGGGATAGTGGTAACCCGTGTATCTTCTACCTTCTTTGCCTTTGATCAGTTCCTATTGGCTGACGAGCTAATCCTCCTTTTTTTTTCTTGTAGGTCCAGCTTTATTGGTCCGCCGGCCGCCGTCTGCTGCTTAGTTTTACTGAACCTTAGTTGTAAGAGTATCCTGTACGGCCTTGTCCTGCGTGGCATCCAGTTGGGCCGCCCGCTCCTCCCTTGTGGGCGATTCCTGTCCTGAGTGACACGCGTGGTTCTTAGTTTTACTGAACCTTAGTTGTAAGAGTATCCTGTACGACCTTGTCCTGCGTGGCATCCAGCTGGGACTCTCCTTTCTGCCCCTGCCGCTAGTCTCTGTCTTTCGTGCTCGTCCATCCTTCTCCGTATGCCTCGCCCGTTGCCCCTCCTTGTGCGTCGTCTACGCTTCGGTTCCAGGGCCTGTTTTAGGGGTTCCTTCCCCGAGTTGTGGCTTCAGGTCCCCTATATGGGCGGTCCGCGTCCGTTTCTCGCTGTCCTTCTTTAATTTACAAATGACCGGGGACACGAAATCCATTATGGTGTAGGGACCGTCATATTTCGGGGCCAGTTTTGCCGCAAACCCTTCGGCCGCGTTGGATAGATGGTGTTGCTTGGCCCATACCTTGTCCCCAATCGTGGGTTTCCACGCTCTCCTCCTCAGGTTATAATACCTCGCCTGGTCCTGCGCCGCTCTTTCGAGATTCCGCCTCACCAGTTGAAATACCTCTCTCAACTTGGCCGCGTTCTCGTCCGGAGTGGGCGTGCCCTGTCCTGTGCCAAGCGCTTCGTCATTGTATAGAGCCTTTGGTAGCCTCGGCTCTCTCCCTTGGACCACAAACGCCGGCGAGTACCCGGTGGATTCAGACACCCCTGAATTTACTGCCAACATTATCTCTGGCCATTTCTCATCCCAGTTCCTCTGGTTCCCTTCGGTGAACTGAGCTATCATAGTTTTCAATGTCCGGTTAGTTCGCTCCGTCGGGTTCTCCTGCGGCGTGTACGGGGCCGTGAACTGATGCCGTACACCCATCTGCTCCAAAAACCTCTTAAAAGCTCTACTGGTGAACTGGACGCCATTATCCGTGATCACCACCTTCGGCACGCCAAACCGGGACACGATGCGCTCTCGGAACGCTTTTGTTAGTGCTTCCGCAGTGGCCTTTCTCAAGGGGACCAACTCGGTCCATTTCGAGAACCGATCCACCATCACCAATAACATGGCATTCCCATGCTTTGACCTGGGCAGAGGGCCCACGAAGTCGGCACACACCGTTGCCCACGGCTTCTCTGGCACTTGTGTCAGCATTTTGCGGGATTCTGCGGGATGTGCCGGGATATCCGGCCTGCTTCCTCGACGTAATCCGGATATTTCCTCGGTTCCGTCCTCATCCTCTCTTGGACCTTTTTAATCCATCCGCACTCTGCCTCCGGTTCGTGTCCCTTCTCTGCTTCCTCCTCGGTGGTTCTCAGGCATCGCTCCGCCAATAGCTGTCGGGACAGTGCGTCCGCCACTACGTTCAGCTGCCCTTTCCTATATGCCACTTCGAAGTCGTATTGTTGTAGCTCCAGCGCCCACCTGGCGATCCTCCCTGTTGAGCTCTCGATGCTGTTCAACCATTTCAACGCCATGTGATCTGTGACTACCTTGAAATGGTATCCCTCCAGATAGGGCTTTAGCTTTCTTATAGCCCATACAATGGCCAGACACTCCTTTTCAGTCGCCGAATAGTTATTTTATGCGCTATTCAGAGTCCTACTGGCGTATGAGATGACCCTCTCGCCCTTCTCCGTCTCTTGCGTCAGGATCGCCCCCAGTCCGTAGTCGCTGGCGTCCGTCTGGAGCA